CAACCTGGTGGCAGTGGATGAACCAAAACATGACATCCCAGAGGTGTACTATTGGATTTAGGTCAGGCGAGCGTGGGGTCCATTCAATGGTATCAATTCATTCATCCTCCAGGAACTGCCTGCATACTCTCACCACATGAGGCCAGGCATTGTCGTGCACCAGGAGGAACCCGGGACCAACTGCACCAGCGTAGGGTCTGACAATGGGTACAAGGATTTCATCCCAATACCTAATGGCAGTCAGGGTGCCATTGTCTAGCCTGTAGAGGTCTGTGCGTCCCTCCATGAATATGCCAGACCATCACTGACCCACCACCATAACGGTCATGCTGAACAATGTTACATGCAGCATAACATTCTCCACGGCTTCTCCAGACCCCTTCATGTCTGTCACATGTGCTCAGGGTGAACCTGCTCTTATCTGTAAAAAGCACAGGGCACCAGTAGTAGAACTGCCAATTCTGGTGTTCAACTGGAAAATCGAGCTCTCTGGTGCCAGGCAGTGAGCACAAGGCCCACTAGAGGACGTCGGGCCCTCAGGCTACCCTCATCAAGTCTGTTTCTGATTGTTTTCTCAGAGACATTCATGACAGTTGCCTGCTGGAGGTCATTTTGTAGGGCTCTGGCAGTGCTCATCCTGTTCCTCCTTGCAAAAAGAAGCAGATACTGGTCCTGCTGGTGAGTTAAGGACCAAAACTAGTGAAAAACAGTCAGAAAAGATGAGTAAGGAAACAAAAGTTGGTGGCCTCCACCTGTAAAACCATTCTTGTTTTGGGGGTCATCTCATTGTTGCCCATCTAGTGCACAGGTTGTTAATTTCATTAAACTTATTAACAACCCCCTCTGCTACTTAACTGATTAGATCAATATCCCAACAGTTTAATTGAATTGATTCTATACTCTATATACTGCTATATGAAATTTTATTCATAGTGCTGTTGGTTGGTTTTTGTATATTTAGGATCAAAACTAGTACAACTATGTTAACCTAGGTTCACACCTAAGCATTTTCCGCAGCGTTTTTCAGGAAAGCAGTACAGTCCATTTAACATGATTTCCTATGGGATAGGTTCACATTTCTGCGTTTTTCACCTGGTGCATTTTTTGGAAAGGGTCAGGGACTTTTTCGAACGCAAAACGTTGCGTTTTTGGTTCTATAGACTTGGATGGCAACGCTGCAGAAAATCATGTATTGTGTTTTTGCAGCGTTTTTGTCGCGTTTTTGATGCGTTTTGTTTTTAAACTCTGCCTAGCAACAAGAAAAAAGAAAAACATTAAAAAAAAAACTGCGGCAAAAACGCAAGTGCAAAAATGCAAAACACAATGCAGAAACATACCAAACACAACCTGCATAGGTGTGAACCTAGACTTGTAGGGAGGACTCAGATAAACACAAATGCTGTGTTATTACCTTTGAAAGACTGCAACATGTACGTCAGTTTTTAATCAGTTCTATTTTAGGTATTTAGCTAGATAGAATTCTTCTTTAACCTAGTGGTTTCTGTGAGTACACATCTTAAATCATTTCAAAACTTGTGCTGTTGCTTCCTTGCTTGTGTAGTGATTCTAGTTTTTAAAAAAACTGTCATTTGCTGTGTAAAAAAATAACTGAACAAACGTGTAAACTTCAGACCCTTTATTGAAAAACTAGAGATGAAAGACAAGACAATCTACGGCCTGGGTTGCTGTTTCTTATATAGTAATAGAAATGATCTACAAAGATTCTATTGAAGAGAGTGCTCTCTATCAAGTGACTGTGAGTTACTGTGACATGTATTGTAAACAGGTCCTCTCACTTTTGCTTGCTTTGTGATGTCACCATCATGCTCCAGTGCTTCCCAAAGCCACTGATCTATTCACTCTCCACTCTGTGTTCTTCTGCTGCATCACATTAACAGCTAGATGAATTTAAAAGCAAACAAGGCTACAATGGGACCCAGCTGTGTGTGGAATCAGAACTGACTATACTGTCAAATGTATCTTTCTACCTTTTAAAGATTAATGTCTTAACTGCAACGGCTTAGTTTTATTAACACTTAAACATCAATTATAACTAACATATTCAGAACACTCTGGAAGAACCTCTACTGTTAAAAATTATGTGTTTGGGACATGTGGAGTTAATGATAGTACAATTAATTATCAATATATAAAACAAGATTGAAACCTAAAATATGTTTAGAATGTTAAAATGTTAATATGTATATTTAGGATATGCTTTGAAAAACTGTATATGGACCAAATGATTTGCCCCACGCTCTTATTCGGTAATTATTAAAATACTGTTTAATGTACAACGGTCTGGGTTCAGACACTTATACAAAAACTATGGTCTAGACAAGGGGTCTCCGAACTTTTTAAACAAAGGGCCAGTTTACTGTCCTAAAGACTTTAGGGGGGCCGGACTGTGCCCAGTGGGAGTAAACAATGGTATATCTTTGGTATTTGAAGTAGAAATAGTTGGTATCAGTGGGAGTAATAGTGCCCCATCATTGGTGTCAATGGGAGGAATAGTGCCACATCATTGGTATCAGTGGGAGGAATAGTGCCCCATCATTGGTGTCAATGGGAGGAATAGTGCCACATCGTTGGTATCAGTGGGAGGAATAGTGTCCCATCAGTGGTGTCAGTGGGAGGAATAGTGCCCCATCATTGGCGTCAGTGGGAGGAAGAGTTCCCCATCATTAGCGTCAGTAGGAGGAAGAGTGCCCCGTCATTGGTGATAGTATAAGCCGACCCAAATATAAGCCGAGGTACCTAATTTTACCACAAAAAACTGGGAAAAACTATTGACTCGAGTATAAGCCCCATCATTAGTATCAGTGGGAGGAATAGTGGCCCATCATTGGTGTCAGTGGGAGGAGTAGTGCCCCAATATTGGTATCATTGGGAGGAATAGTGTCCCAGTGTTAGTGTCAGCAGGAGGAATAGTGCCCCATCATTGGTGTCAGTGGGAAGAATAGTGACCCATCATTGGTATCAGTGGGAGGAATAGTGCCCCATAACTGGTGTCAGTGGGAGGAAGAATACCCCATCATTGCTGTCAGTTGAAGAAAGAGTTCCCCATCATTGGTATCAGTGGGAGAAAGCGTGCCCCATCATTGGTGTCATTGGAAGGAATAGTGTCCCATCATTGGTATCAGTAGGAGGAATAGTGGCCCATTGTTGCTGTCAGTGTGAAGATCAATGTCCCACTGGCAGGAATAATGCCTCACAGGCCGGATAAAGTCAAGAAAAGGGCTGCAATTTGGAGACCACTGGTCTAGACTCAGTAAGTGTGAAATGGGCTTGTGTGATTTACAGGGACAAGTGAAACCACATCCCTTAGCTAGTGGATGCTGATGGAGTTAGTGTCCCTGCAGATTTTTAGGTAATTGAATGTGAGATTCATTACCAACCTGAATGGTCTGATGTGCTGGCAGATATGGGTGGTGGAGGCATAAAATGGGTAGGCATATTCTATGAGTGTTGTTTTTGTTATATAAAATGACATAGAAATGGTATTGCTGCCTTGTTTATGCTGAATACCGATTAACGCTTTGCTACTCCTGCTCATGCATTTGTGCGGAGGGACTTGAGGCGATGCAAGGGCTTCATGGTTAACACCTTCCCGCCCGGCCTATTGCAGATTGATGGCTGGGCAGGACACTCGGCATTGTGACTGGGCGTAATATGACGTCCTGTCAAAACGAGCCGCTCATGCGGCCACGGGGCTGCACAGCAGCGCAATCTGTCATCGGCTGTGTCCACAGGACACAGCTGATGAAATTTCACTACACCAGCCCGTTGCCAGTGTCATGTGACTGCTGTGACCAATCACAGCAGATCACATGTCAATTGTATACAATGGATGGCTTCCTGTCATGCCATCCATTGTATACAATTATGTTGTTAGCTGTGACTGGTCAAGGCAGTTACATGATACAGACAGGGCCAATCACAGCCTATCTGTATCATATGATGAGCTTTGCCCAATCACATGAAATACATTGGTATTAGCAATCATAATGTGTTTAAAAAAAATCCCTGATCACTTGCCCAGAGTAGTTCAAATGTTACTATGGTAACATTGTATTGCTTTGGTCACAGGGTGCTGAAAAATAAAATAGTAGAAAAAAGAAAAAATGTAATAAAAAAAAGAAACATTTGAAAAAAATACAAATTCAATTATTAGTATTATTCTCACCAAAGAAATGTAGCAGAATACATTTTGACCTAAATTTATGAAGAAATGTTATTTATTTTCAAACGAAGAAAAATGCGTTTTTTGCTCAAAATTTTCAGGTGTTTTTGTTTTATTTGCCAAAAAATAAAAAACTTAGTGGTGATTAAATACCACCAAAAGAAAGCTCTACTTGTGTGAAAAAAATTGATAAAAATTTCATATGGGTACAGTGTTGCATGTCCGCACAATTGTCATTCAAAGTGCGACAGCGCTGAAAGCTGAAAATTGGTCTGTGCAGGAAGGGGATATAAGTGCCCGGTCTTGAAGTGGTTAAAGATGTATCCTTATTGATTTCACAGAATAACTGATCTTGTGCTATTTTACTAACTATGTGCCTTTGTAAAGCATAGTCTACTCAACCTGTCTGTACTGAGGGAATGTAAAGTATGACTACTAATGTACATTGTGATGAGACATGTTCCTTTTTATTTTTTTTATTTTTGTAAACCTGTAAAAACTTTGAACAAAAAGTTATTTGGAAAAAAAAGCTTTAAGAATGTATAAATCAAAAATATGTTATATATTATTATGTTATGTCTCTCAGTAGTAATTGATGTATGTATTGACATTTAGACTGGAGAACTCAAACTACTTGTAATGATGTGAATACTGAAAAAAAGATTAATTATGTTGTCTAGAAGGAGACATAAAAGAAACACTTATATAAATGGTGTTTAGACTTCTCTGAGAAGCACCCTCCCACTGTGCATGTAGAGAATGGTAGAGGAAAATGTCTTAAAGCTTTCTCATTAAAGTCACATTTCATATTCTGTACCTTGGTGAATTCCTCAGGCTCCTTTATGTCCATGGTCCGTGAAGCAAATTCTAATAGCTCCTCTGAACTCTCCAGGGCATTCGTACACTGGGACAGTTGATTCTAAAACAAAATGGAGAAAAGAAGAGGCAATGTATGTGTGAGTTTTCAGCAAAGTTATGTGATGAAAAAGAAATGTAACAAAAATAGCACAGCTATTCTGTCACTTGTCAAATATTTCCAAAACACAAGAGCTCTACTTTTGCCTTACTGCACTGGCATCTTGATTTTATACTGTCTATAGTTATTGGTATGGCGGATTAAAGTCTTACGTCTTATCTAAACTTAAAAAAGGCACTACAGGTACCCTAAACGATCACCCACCACAACCCAGTCATTTCAGGAAAACCATCATCCTTTGCACAGAAAGAAAGCATATTTTCTACAGAGGCTCCATGAAACTGTCTAGAACAGGGGTGGGCAACTGTGGTCCTCCAGCTGTTGTAGAACTACAAGTCCCATGAGGCATTGCAAAACTGACAGTTACAAGCATGACTCCTAAAGGCAGAGGCATGATGGGACTTGTAGTTCACCAACAGCTGGAAGGCCACAGTTGTCCACCCCTGGTCTAGAAAGTTCTAGATCACTCATGCAATGAGAACATTTACTGCTTCACTTCTGAGTGGGCTCTGCTGAAAATTGGTATGATGTAGGTGAGCAAGTTCCCAAAGATGCATAGTTTTTGAAGGTGCTGGGTGTTTGAGAGCCTATTACACATTTTCATGTTAAGGAGGTAAAATGTTTAATGGATATATTTAGGGATTTGAACTGATCTTCATTTAAACCAACAGCCTATTTTTTACTCAGAACAGAGTTTGTATACTCATACATTTGTACAGTGTACCTTTGTAGAATTCATACACAGAATGCAGACACTGCCTTAAATACAAAAAACCCACAATTTTTAAAGGGATCATATGCATAGCAAGGCTCTAAGAGGTGCAGACACTAAATCCTGGGGAGCTCAAATATGTAAACAGCAAGCTCAGTTCCTAAAGCCCTGGCCACACCACATTCCATTCCTTAAAGCAGAACTCAGGGAAAAAATGTCTTTACATGTCCTTGTTGCTGATTTCCTACCTTCACTGAATATGTCATCCATCTTCTGGAACACGGAGTAGTTGCTCTGAAATAGCATGTTCATTTTCAAATCAAACTGTTTTTTCCCTTTGGTTTCCTGTTTGTAAGACCAGTGGCTGCTATGCCCCCTATTCCCCCAGCCCCTGGTCTTGGCACATCCCTTATTTCATTCTTTCTCCAGGAAGCAGTAATGTAATTCAGCCCAACTTGCAGTGGCGGGAGGACTGACACTCTCAGACACATTCAACGTGTACAGGCCTAGTGTACCCGCCCACATTCACTACAATTCCCTGAGGTTAATGGGAAATGTAGTTTCATTTTACTGCAGAGAGGAGAGGAGAGTATATGTTGTAATCCCTGTTGCTACACCTCCTCCTTGACAGAGCAGATGCTGTTAACTTTTGGATTACAGAGACACGGTCATGAAAATTCAATTAGACTTTTGTCCTAAATGGTAAGGATTTTCAAAAATATATTAGCTGTTTAGTGTTTTGTGTAGGGGGCTGATGGGTGATTTTTTTTGCCTTTCCCAGAGTTCTCGTTTGGCTTTTAGTCTATCTTTGTGTTGGACCACTTCCCTGACCAATAGTGTGAAAATGATATACCAAAAAGAAAAGCCAGGAACTGAAGTCACTGTTTGCATATTAAAGACCATGTAAGACAGCGTCAACATTTTTACCACAAAAGAACCCCTAAAATTATTTTCAGGTCTTGGGGATCCCTAACAAACCAATTCATGTGTGGGCAGTGGCAAAAATGCACCTTAAATTGATGGTCAATAGGAAAGGAAACCCTTACAGTGGTGGTCAGAATGCTGCTGGCTTTCTTTTAGGTGGCATTGGTCCTGGAACTTTGCAAGCTTTATCAAAGGGAGGTCGATCAGCCTCAGCTCAAGGAATCCCTAGCAACTTTTGGAGGAATCCTAGTGGAGAATGGCTGCTGTAAGCTCTAATGTAAAACTTTCTGTATGTGAGACGAAGCAAAGGGTCTGCAGCAAACATATCTGAGAATTCTTCTCTTGCAGTACTGGTACTCATATGAAGTTCCCATCCTGGAAGATTACTGAAAGTCCTTGAGTATGAATGCTGCTTTTCCAGTATGCATTTCAAGGCTTGTTTTTCAATACAATCTAAAATGTAATTTTAGTTGTGCATCAAGCAACAGTTAAGCAATTATGAGGGAAGTATAAGATAATCTGAAATCAGGAGTAGAGTCAAGCATGGTCTCACCTGTAGTTCCTGGGTTTTGTGGGCTTGTTCCTGCTTGATTCTATTAGTCATGCTCTCTTTCATCTCATCAAGCACAGAGTAAAGGCCATCAAACTCTTCATCCAGGTCAGACAAGACCTTGGCAGAATTACCCTGGAAAATTATAGAAAAAAAAAAAAAAAAAAAAAAAAAGTACAGCACATGTAAAAAATATATATGTATAAATAAAAAAGAATAATACATCCAGTTATGGCCTGGATGTACAAAAACTTCTTGGCTGGCTGTATCCATAGAAACTGTATTTTTTGATACTCACCTTAAAATTCTTTTCTCTGATTTCATTGTTTAACATAGCTCTTCTCTTCTAGACCACAGGGTTTTTATAGCACCACCTACTGGAGTAGGACACTAGGCAGAAAGAAAAGAACACTACACAGCCTAGCTAGTATAAACCCCCCTCTCTCTATAGGCAAGCCAGTTAGTCACAAAGCAGTAGAAGTAAAACAGAACCAAGTAGACGGGTGGGTACTGTGTCCGCCAATGAACTAAAAAAGAGGATTTTACGGTGAGTAACAAAAAATCCAGTTTTTTCTTATGTTCATTGATGGACACAGCTCTTCTATTCTTGACCATAGGGATGTCTCAGTGCCTCAATGAGGGGAGGGCACACAAAAAACAGGAGCAACCAGGCAAACATACCAACCACCCAAACAACCAACAAAATAAACACGGAACCTTAAACAGCAGCCTGCAAAACTCTGCAGCCAAAATAAGAACATCTCAACTTTGTAAAATTTGGTAAAAGTGTGCACAAATGACCATATAACCTCCTTGCAAACCTGAGACAAAGACGCCTGATATCTGAACACCCAAGAGGCACTAACTGCCCTGGTGGAGTGTGCCATAACAAGGGAGAAGCCTGACCCTTAATAGTATAAACCTGAGCAATTGTCTGCTAAATCCCTTGGGATCACAAAAAGAGAATCCGACCTCTGGAATGAAACTGTAGCAGACAGGTATACACAAACCGCCTAGGTCACATCCAAGTAGTGCACCACACCTCCTTGGGGTGGGTAGGTCTTGGACACAGGGAAGGCATGACCATGTCCTCATTCAGGTGGAAATCGAACACCCCCTTTGGAAAGGTGGGTCACAGATGAAGAGCCACCTTATCCCTGTGTAAGACCAAACAGGGAGACTTACAGTTTAAGGCGCTAGATCTGACACCTACTATGCAGAAGTGGTGGCGACCAAAAAGGCAACTGAGATAGCGTAAGTAGGGAAATACCCTGAACACTTTCAAAGGGAGGCTTCTGAAGGACTGAAAGAACCAAGTTCAGCTCCAACGGCAGCAACAGGCAATGCAACGGAACTCATTGGATGAGAGTATGAATCAAAGAGTGCGTGGCTAAGGGTGGCTGAAAGAAGATCGCCAGAGTAGAAACCTGGCCCTCAAGGTACTCAAGGCAATAAATACCAAAAACCGGAGCTGCTAAGGGGGAGCGTGGATGGAAACCCAGAGCCTCGCACCAGGCGATGTAAGCCCTCCAGGTGTAATGGTAAATCTTCCAAGAGGTAGGCTTGCATGCCTTCAACATTGTAGGGATCACCGAACCTGACAAGTCCGTCCCTCAGAACCAGACTTTCAATAGCCATGCCATCAAAATAAGAGATGGTAAAACAGGGTGGAAAAGCAATTCATGGTATAGGAGATCTTCTCGAAGGGGCAGCCGCCAGGGAGCGTCCACAACCAGCAGCACCACGTTGTCGTACGAGGGTCAACGAAGCCTGCCTGGAGCTACCAGAATGACCAAGGCTCTTCAACCTCTATCACGCGCAGCAGACAAGAAACTTGAGAAGAAAACACATAAATAAGTACCTGTAATAAATAAATAGAGACAATACTGACCCCACAGCACCATCAGTGCATCTGCTGCATCCGCCAGGGGGTCCTTCACTCTCGCCATGCATCTTGGCACCATCCTGTTGAGGTGGTGTGCCAGAAGATCCACGTCTGGGTTGCTCAAGCATAGGCAGATCTAATGGAACACATCCAGCTCTAAGAACCACTCTCCCTGATCCAGCGTCAGATCACTGAGGCAATCAGCCAGTCAGTTCTCAACACCTGAAATGTACACAGCAGAGAGAGCCAGCTGTTGCACTACTTGAGGTTGACATAGGCCACCGTGGTGGCAATGGTCCAAATTAATCCTGACTGGCCAACAATCCAGACACACACATTGCTCCAGGACTATGATGAGTAGCAGAGCCTCCTCCAGTGTCCAATAACCCCCGAGCTGACCTCCACCCCAGGACTCCTCCCTAGTGAGACATGCTGACGTCTGTCGTGACCACCATCCAGTGGACAGGGAGAAAGGATTTCCTGGTGTGTAGTGAGTAAGACTGAAGCCACCAGAGAAAGAGGCCCTGGCTGACAAACCCAGACAAATCTGACTGTCCAGGGAAGCAGGAGATGTGTCCCATTTTGATAGGATTTCCCTCTGCAGAACCAATGCATTGAACTGCGCATATGGGACTGCCTCGAAGGTGAATGCCATAAGAGCTAGGACCTGCATGGAAGACCACAGGGAAGACCATCTGCAGAACAGGAGTAGCTAATCCACAGTCCAAAGTATCCAATGGGAGAAACACTTTGGCCTGTGCCTCCTGTTCGGGGTCAAGGCAGACGTATTGAAAGTCAGGACCCATCCAAAATCCATCCAAGTACATCAGCACAGAATGAGTCTCTGCTCACAGCAGAAGATCCTTCAGGTAGCCAGTAATGTCAATACCAGGGCCAGCACCTTGAGAAAAAACCTGAGGAGTGGAGGTCAGGTTGAAGCAAAGTGCAACAAATAATAATGTGCGATCCTGACCACAAAGTGTGAGAAGCGTTGCTACACAGCACAGATGGAGACATGCAGGTATGCATCCTTGTTGTCCATGAAGGCCAGAAAATCACCCTGATGAAGGAAGACCACCACCGAATGGATTCCATCCTTGAGGTCCAGGATTGGGTGAATAGAAATAATTTCTCTGGAAGACAAGAATGAAATTCTATTTTGAAGCTGGACACAATTTTGTGTACCCAGCTGTTGGAGAAGAAGGAGGTTCAAGGGCCTGTGAACCAGGGAAGATAACCCCCGACCCTAGAAAAGGGTGGGGGCAAGCCTTCATGCCGAGAAGGACTTGTCTGTGGGCTTTGGGGCCATATGAGGCCAGGAACGCTGGGCACCACCTGGACAAGGTAACAACAAACTGGCAAAGCAAGTCATACTAACAAGGAAAAGCTGGAATAACATTTTGCGATAACTATGTTAATTGGCAACTGGTCAGTAACATTGGCAATAAAAAGAGTATCTTAGAGTGTCACAGTGTTTCAGAAGTAAAGATGGGCAGAGGTTCACCAAGGTTTCAATATACTTGCCTTGCATGGCCCCTGCAGCCTCTGGGCTCCCAAATGAACCTGGGAAGAAGGGAGGAAGGCCCACATCTAGCAGTGCCAACCAGGTACCAGCGGACCTCCTCTGATCTATGCCAGGGGGGGCGCCTGTCTATCTGGTCACGGTTAAGGGCCACCAGTGAGAGAGACAGCATACAGGCACATACAGCCCGGCATTCCTTCAGCTACATGCAATGACATGGCTGGGAGCCTGGGAAGACCAGAAGAACAGGGTACCCAACCCCACACCAATTGGCTCCAGAGGATAGAAGGGGAGAAGAGGGGTAAACCACTTACCTTATCTCTATGACAGAAGCCAAGGTGCTGTCAGCCTAGGCCCACACCAGGCTGTCGCAGCCAACACAGCACTTATCTAAAGGCCTGCGTGCACATGTTGGCCAGATTGGGGTGGCCACTGGATCTAGGTTATCTATCCATTGCCCAGCCTAGCTGTTGATTGAAAATCTCAGCAGGAAAAAAAAAAATCCCAGGAACAAAGAGAATAAAAAAGGAAACAAGACTATAGAAGCACAGGTCCCAGCAGGGAACTGGGCCCTTACTCCTACACTAGGCAGAAATAACTAGTATGTCTATAGCAAAGAGGGGGTTTTACACCAGCTAGGACTTCGCATCGTCGATGCTGTGTTCTTCTCTGCCTCGTGTCCTACTCCTGTAGGTAGTGCTATAGAACCCTATAGTCAATAATAGAAGAACTGTGTTCATCAATGAACTTAAGGAAAAGAATTTTATGGCGAGTAACAAAAAATCCAGTTTCTATGGATACAGCCAGCCAAAAATTTTCTGTAATTTTGTGTCCGTCAAAGAACATAAGAGAAACATGACTGTCACTTGATCCCGATAACTTCAACAGGTTTTGGCAACAATCGCTGTGTCTATAAGCAATAAAATTATACTGGCCAATAGACTAAGAAGGGGTTAGGCAACCTCAGCATTCCAGCTGTGGAGAAACTTCAAATGCCATCATGCCTCGCAAACTGTTGAACGGTCATGCTGGAAAACCAGTATTTGATCAGTGCATACAGCCAATAGCTGCAAGAGCTGATCTGTGTATACTGTTGGGGAGGGGAGTCCCACTGTCAGAATACAATAGTGGAAGAGATCCCTGTATTAACACCACTGGTTGAACAAAAAAAAACAAAACTGTACATGTATACCCAGCTTTAGATGGACTTTGCATAAGTGACCAACACATTAAAGCTGAACTCCAGCTAACACCTTTTAAAGCAGACTTAAGTTTGCAATTATCACCTCTCCTTCTCCAGTCCAACATCCCTTGCCAATACTGGCATCTTATCCCCGAATTTTTCGTTGCCAGTCATCTTAGTACACAGGATCTGTGCGGGAATGTAAACTAAGCTGCGCTTGTGCAGCTCAGTGTACATTCCAAAGAAGACTGCAAGCAGACAGGTAGGTTAACACTGCACTGTTTTTCTTAATCAGTGCTAAATTATTTCACATCAGCATGCAGTGATGTATGCTGATGTGAAATTCAGTAAAAGGACAGGGGAGATACACCTTAATAAGTGAAGCTCGCATTTAAGTGCAAAGCCTGCTTCAGAGATGTTAGGCTTTAGGTATTCATTTTGTTGCTGTTATTTACCCTTTGCATACCACATATGCTTCTGGCTTTACCAATACAGTTTATGATCCCCTACACAATGACATAGGCAAGCCATTTTTGCCATACTGT